TAGGGTTGTGAGTGGGGTATTAAAGTCCCCAGTTATGATAGTGTTAGAGTCGATATCTTTCTTTAGTTTTCCAAGAAGTTGCTTTATGAAAGTTGGTGCACCTATGTTGTGTACATATATTTTTAGGATAGATATTTCTTGTTGATGGATTGAGCCTTTTATCATTATTTAGTGGCCTTCTGTATCTTTTTTAATTTTTAATAGCTTGAAGGGTATTTTGTCTGAAATTAAGATCGCTACTCCTCCTTTCTTTTGTATTCCGTTCGCCTGAAAGTTTGTTTCCCATCCTCTTACTTTGAGTCTGTGGGTTTCCTTTCTAGTGAAGTGAGTCTCTTGAAGGCAATAGATTGTTGCCTGATGATATTTTATCCATTTTCCCATTCTATGTCTTTTCAGTGGTGCATTTAGTCTGTTCACATTCAGGCTAATAATTGAAATGCAAGAGTTGATCCCTGTCATAAGGTTCTTACAGAGTTGTTCCTGCTTGTTTGTTGTCTTTCTTTGGGTTTTGGAGTTGGTTCATGTGTGTTTTTAATCTTGTGCCTGTACTCTTGTGAAGAATGCTGTTGTTATTTTTTCTTTTTCTTCTGTGTTCAGTACTTTCTTAAGTGTTTCTTGTAGAGGTGGTCTGGTGGCAGCGTAGGTTCTTAGGGATTGGATATCTGGAAAAGATTTCAGTTCTCCCTCACTAATGAAGTTTAGTTTGGCTGGGTAGGTTATTCTTGGTTGAAATTGTTTCTCTTTTAGAACTTTGAAGATAGGGCTCCAGGCTCTCCTGGCCTGAAGGGCTTCTGTGGGTAAATCTGCTGCTATTCTAATTGGTTTTCCCTGGTAGGTAGTCTGACCTTTTTCTCTTGCTGCCTTTAAGATTTTTCCTTTTATAGCTACTTTGTTTAGGCGAATTATTATGTGTCTGGGAGTTGGTCTTCTCATTTGTTGTCTTGCAGGGGTTCTCTGAATCTCTTGTGTTTGAATTTTTCATCCTTAATGAGATGAGGGAAGTTTTCTTGAATGATTTCATGAAATGTTTGTTCCAGTGTGGCTTCTGTTTCTCTCTGTGCCTCAGGAAGCCCAATTACTCTTAGGTTTAGTCTCTTGAAGTGGTCATTCATCTCTTGCAGGTTTTGTTCTGTCTTTTTGAGCATCTTTTCTATGCTTTTGACAGTTTGGGTTAGTTCTGAGTTTTGGTCTTCGAGCTCTGAGATTCTTTCTTCTGCTTGGCTTATTCTGCCTTCCATGCTTATTAGTCTGTTGTTCATTTCCATCACAATATTCTTTACTGCTGTCATTTCTGACATCAGCTCCTTCCTATTTTCCTCTTGTCTCTCCTCAATTTTTTAAATTCTCTCAATTAATGTCTTGATGTCTGGGTTTGTTGCATGTGGCCAGTCATTCTGGGGGCTCTTCATTGTTTGTGTTCCAGAATCTGTTTCTCAGTGTCTGATTTCCCAGGAGTCTGTGTGAGACCTATATGCTTCTTTTGGTTTTTCTTCATTTGTGTGGTTTTTCCCCCTCCGTACTTTTTCCTTCCTTCCATGTCACCGTCTTCTTTAATTCTGTTATTCAGGGGTAAAGGCATTGGTTTTACTTCTGTTTGTTCAATCTCCTATTCTTTATGTATGTCCTCTTACTTTGTTCAATTCTGGAGTTGCACTGTAGGTTGAAGGTGGTCCTTTTTGCAGTTTTGAGATTTACTTAAGAGGAGAGCTGTGATTCAAAATCTGTCTGCAGGTCCTGGTATTCGCTGAAAGGTGTGTGGATAATGTGGAACCCACTTCCCACTGCCCTGGAATCTGTCTGTGCAGTGGGTTGTATGTTTACTCCCTGAAATAAAATGTGGTTAGCAGAGGGAGAGAATGGAGCAGATAGTTGGGTTGAAGAGGGGAGTGGA